GGGAGTGGGAACCAATGGTGTTGCTTTTAGGCTTTGGATGGGACCTATACCTTTCTTTTGCACTTGCTTTACTGCTAATCCTTCCTGTGTTTTAAAGCCAACTTGAAATTGTGGAGTGCTTTGTGTGTTGATCTGAACCGATGTCGCATAATCTGCCGTAGATTTAGCTTAATGCAAACTGAAATAATTGATCCTGCTTTCTTAGGTCTCTGGCAGCTTGCAGGGCTCTCCAGCCTAGGCAGTGAGTCTGCCTTGTAAATACCTGATCGGGTGGTGAATGCTACACCCCAACTGGCTTTAGAGCTCAGTTCCGTGCACTGAATCCCAGGAGTACTACATAATCTTGTAAATGACAGTTCAGACAATTATAACCATTACTCATTTTCTTTCTTGAAAGATCTTTATTGTATTTTGAGCAATTGCTTTTAACTTGGACTGTACAGAAAGGCAGATTTTTCTCCAGTATTTTCACACTAGCTTTTGTTTACAGTGAGAAGATGGGTGCCCAGAGTTTGGTGGATAACAAATCTATCTCAACTCAGTGGTTCTTGAGTACAAAATATGGGAAACTGATCACACTGATCCACATCCATTGCTGTTGTTCAAATAAAACTAATTGAAATTTAGCTTGTTGCAAACTGTAAATTAAGTGCATCATGCAGCAAATGGTGGGTGAGGAACTGAGTTTTAATAGCAGAGCTGATAAAACTGTCTGTTGCTTTTTTCTAGGAATTGTGGAGCCTGTTAATATAGTAGACAATGGAGATGGCACCCACACAGTGGTGTACACCCCGACACAGGAGGGACCCTATATGATCTCTGTCAAATATGCTGATGAAGAGATCCCTCGCAGGTAAGGTGTTGAAGATGAACTGAAGATTTAATGACCTGCTCATGCTCTCCCAGCACCGTTTCAGGGCTAGCTCTGGTCCTTTCTGCTTAACCAGTACAGCTCCTTGCATAACTTTAGGTTTCAGCAGTGGTTTGATGCTGCACTTGCAGCAGAGATGCTGTAGGGGAGTATCCACACCTCAGGGTGTTCTGCAGTAACTATCAGCCATTGACTTAGGAGGAGGGGGCAATAATGTGTTTCTTTTTAAGCCCCTTCAAGGTGAAGGTGCTTCCTACATATGATGCCAGTAAGGTGACAGCGAGTGGACCAGGGCTCAGTTCCTATGGCATACCTGCCAGCCTGCCTGTGGAGTTTGCTGTGGATGCTAAGGATGCTGGTCAGGGACTTCTGGCTGTACAGATCACTGTAAGTAACTACAAAACCAAGTGGGTGTGGAAACACATCGATCTAGGTGGGCATGAGTGGCTTCTATACTTAGTGTCCACAGCTGCACCCTGACATACCTGGGCTGCTGGCTGGACCTTAAGCTCTGGTACAGGAAAGTCTTGTACTCGGTGTTTGTGAACCTCTTGAAGCTGCTTTCATGAGACTTCTCTCTTAAAACCATCACCCTGGCTATATTTGGCTCTTGGTTAAACTTACACGCTGCAAATGCCCAAAATGAGATAGTTTCTTGCAAGGTTATGAAAATGCTGGAATTTGAAATGGAGACAGCCTTGTAGGAGTATAGTTCAGCAAGGTCATGAGATAACATCCACACCAAATGTGACATGATGACAAATTAATAAACAAGTCTCCCTCAAGGTTACTCAAAGTCATAAGCTGCCTAAGGAGATACTGCAGGAATGTTTTCATTTCACGTTGTTTCTACTTCTCCTGAAATTTCTGGTGCCCAGACTCTGGGGCCTCAGTGAAAAAGTCTCAGTTTAGTGGGCCATAAAGCACATTCCCAGCCCTGGCATGCCTAGGTCATGGCATGGCTGGTTGTACTTGCCCTTCTGCATTCTTGTTCCCATGCTCTCTGCTGCCTGCTCAGGTGCAGCAAAGCAGTTACCTTTATTTTGGCAAGAAAGTGTGCTCTTAAAGGATCCAGAATGCTCATTGGAGTTCCCAGTCTGGCTGTGGCTTTGAAGATCAAGTTCCACAAGTCCTGCATGGTGGGAATGCATAGGTGATCCTACTCACAGCACTTTTGTTCGCTTCTGGTTCTGAACTATGGAATGTCAAACATTTCACAAGCCTTCCTGAAAGAAGCAAGATTTTCACACTGCACCTAAAGTCTCAAGTCCTTTGTAGCTTATACTGTACCCCAGGCAGTGTTAAGTCATAACATACAGAGTGGAGCCAATGCATGGTTCCCTGTAAGCAAGCCTGCAAGACTTTCTAAAACACTTCACACTTTGAAGCTGATGACTTGCACTTAAACCTGAGGCTGGGAGTAGCTGTGTCTTGCACCGTGCCGATCTTGGTTGTTGATACAAAAGCCTGATGCTGAAGCTCAGATCTGTGTTGTTTATGCATCTCTTCAATTATTGTACTCAGTATAGAAATGGTAGTTGAAAGGACTACATAGACCTGCTTGTAACTGTAGACCTTGCAGTGTGTAAGGAGCTGGATGCCTCATCCAGAAGGGTTGCTAACAAACTCCAGTAATGCTGCCCTCAACCTCAATCCTTTTGCGGAGCAGCTCCAGTGCTTTGTCAGGGCAGAACTGCACAGTTTGGCTCCAGATCTTTCTCTAGGGGCCTGCGCAGTGTTCTTCATTTTCAGCAGCAATATGACAGTGAAGCCTAAAACTTCTTACAATTAATATAAAGTTCATTAAAATGGCTTGCTGCATCTTACAAACAGTCTCATGTCAAACAAAAGGTAGTTAATGAAAGCACTTACTATTTTATAGTGGTCTGATACATTTTTGTCTGTTGCTGGTACTAGTCCTCTAGTGAAATATATTTAACCCTCAAAAAGCTGCAGTTCTGTATCTGCTTCAGACCAACTAAACATGGTTGTATACAGATTTGCTGCCCTGCTAAAGGGTTTCATAACTATCTTCATAGTGCCTCTTCTGTTTTGCATTCCTCAGGACCAAGAGGGCAAACCCAAGAGGGTAGACATTCACGACAACAAGGATGGCACTTACACAGTCACCTATGTCCCCGACAAAACGGGCCGCTATACGATTGGTGTGAAGTACGGTGGAGATGATATCCCATCCTCTCCCTACCGGATCCGAGCATCTCCAGCTGGGGATGCCAGCAAGTGTTTGGCCACAGGTGAGTGTTGGCTCCTGTCTGTTGCTGTCATTTGTACTTGGTGTAAAGCTGCCTTCTAAGCATGGTACAGTTGATGTGACAGGTGTAAAAGACACCAGAAGCTTGTCATTTGGCTGTTCTTACAAGAGGGGTTTTCCTAAAGATAAGGAAATATCTGCCCTGCTGGTGAGCAGGAATATCTTGCAGTGTCTAGCAAAATCTTTCAAGCTGCCTGTGTTGTTATAAACAGCAAGATGCAACTAAAGTCTGATACTTATTTTGGTCTAGATAAATCTCCTGCTGAGAGCTGCAGTAAGGGTGATTTAAAAACAAGATATCTGTGCACATTCACTGCATCATGCTCCTTGCACCATGAGTGGTGCAAGAAGATTTTTGTTCCAAACAAGAACAGAATTCATTCTGAGGATGTAAATAGCAAAGCCTGTTCAGTTTGGGTGTTATTAGTGGAGGTTTCTGCTGCTTTTTTTTTTTCTGCTCAGGTTTGGCCAGGGTCTGTTCTGCCTTTTGGAAGGTGTGGGTGAAAGGAGAGAACCTGAAGATAAGATGTTACTACAACTCAAAAAAATAATTGCCTCAAAAATCAGTGGCTTGGTGTAGGGGAGAGACTCCCAACTTTGTTGCTGTAGGAGCACACTTATAGCTTCAACCCTAACTAGTTCTCAGGACAGTTAGTCATCACATAGCTTTGGGCTGGCCACTGTGGCACACTGACAACTCCCAGACATCCAGAGGCTGTGGCAGAACTGGTTACAAGAATGTCACTGAATGTTAAATCCCCTGATTTTAAAATAAATAAATTAGGCAAGGGCAAACTGGAAAGGGAAACTTAATCTGTTGTTGTAGACCTGTGAGTGCTAGGGTGTGCCTGGTGCCTGTCCAGCAGCTGGCTGCTTCCAAGCTTGCTTAAATAGAAATATATTCCTGGCACAATGGAAAACACAGAGTGGCAGGTATCCGCTTTGCTTCAAACTCTGTTTAAAAAAGGCCTTAATGGCTGAATCTGATACTCTTCCAAATAACTCTAGTCAGTAACTATTCAGAATAACTGTGATGGGGATTATTCTCAGATGTCATCTTAAATTTCCCCTTTCCAAGAAGTGCCTCTGACTCTCAGCTGTGAAGTTGAAATACAATCGCCATAGGAGTAGATGCTGGAATATTGTCAAGGTATTAAAACAACAGGTTTGTTGCCATTGGAAAATTGAGCCATTTACCTGGTAACAAGTGCTGGTCAAAGCAGGAGTATTAAATATGTACTGCAAATAAGACTTAATGGTTCTCATTTAAACACAGTGTTCTTCAGGCTAGATCCAATCGCTACAATTTAGACATTGTTTCATGATTTTCTTTTTTCAGGTTGTGTGGCAGAGCAGTGAAAAATAATGTGTGGGTAATGTATGAGGAAACATGGTCATGGCTGCTACCATGTCCTTTTATTGCTGCTTGCACAGGGAGGTTTGCTGGCCGGGGCAGTGCCTTTGGCTCTGCATAAAGGAGTGTGACAATAACAGTATGGGTTTAAGGCATTGCTTTCTTCAAACCTAGCTTTTTTTCCCCCTCGATTCTCCTCCAGCCTCTCTGATTGCAGAAGAGGGGGGAAGCTGGTGGCCAGCTCTTGCATACTGCTGTGCTGACCCACACTATGAACATCCTTTGTTGTACATTTGCTCCCAAAACCATGTCTGTGGGTCCCCAGGACCAGCACTTTGGTGCTGTGTTTCTCAGGCACCTCGTGGGCAACCTGCCTGTGAAAACTGTCCTCTGAATGCTTCCTGTAACAAAAATTGCCTTGCAGGTCCTGGAATTGCACCCACTGTGAAGACTGGTGAGGAGGTTGGTTTTGTGGTAGACGCCAAATCAGCAGGGAAGGGAAAAGTGACGTGCACCGTCCTGACGCCAGATGGGACAGAAGCTGAAGCAGATGTTGTTGAAAACGAGGATGGGACTTACGATATCTTCTACACTGCTGCCAAACCAGGAACCTATGTGATTTATGTCCGCTTTGGTGGGGTGGACATTCCCAACAGTCCTTTCACTGTCATGGTAAGCCAGCTCTGCTCAAAAAATACCTCCCACTTGGATTC